TGAAAAAAACATACTCAAGTAAAAGTACCATTACATTCCAAAAAATGTAGTGTGAGTAGAGTAAAAAGTACTTGTCCAAAAAACTACTTGAGTAAAAGTAAAAAAGTAGCTTATTTAAAAGTACTCAAGAGTAGTGAGTACTGAGGTGCGGATTCTAACCCTTATAATAAACACTGTGCACTACAATTTATAAGTTTAAAAATACACATACTGGAATTCACATTATACTTTGTTCTTTGTAAGAAAGATTGAAGAATATCTATCATCCATCTTTTTAAAATGCATCAAATCAGTACACTCATCACCATTTAAATTATTTGGGGGAAAAGCATTTAAAATTAGGCGAAAAGCCACTGGGCCTGAGCATGTTATTGTTGCACATAAAATATCAATATTCATAACTGTGCAAATAATTCAAAAACCTTTAGAAATTCATATGATAGTTCAGCATCACACACCAAGAGATGGGTTGAATAAAACAAAAAAATACCCAATTTCTCTCCAAAACGGTAGTGTTTTGATAAATGAGAATCACTAATATTATCATACTACCTCAACTAATGCACTGAAAAAGGCTAAGATAGTGAGCTAACACTAATTACACACTTTAAGTCCATGCTATGTTACAATTTAAACGTAAATGCATTGTTCTAGAAGGGTGGCATCATCCCTTACATTTTACACGGCTACATTTACTCACATTGTAATGCTGATAATATAATTTGAAAGGACAATTGTGCATTAAATAGGGAAGTTATATCCAGGAAACTTTTACAAAAGAAACAAACACACTTTGTCTCTGAAGTCTCGGCGAAGCCGTTTTATCAGCAGCATCCACATAAAAAAAAGTTCAGCATGGAAAATGTTTTTGCGCAAGTGCACTTGCCAAATGAAGACGGATCGCATAATGGATCAATCAAAAAACGCTGTTTATTAACGAGCTGTGCTAATTTCCTATTAAGTAATGCATTTCAAGTTAACGACATGGTGCACTGATTCTGAATCTGGCGGCATGGCGAGCGCGAGATGCGGCAGATCGTAACGCGCGTCTCTCCTGTGATTGTGAAGTAAATAGGAGCGGGAATTCACCGCATTACGAACTCGTCTCGCAATACCCCCAACCTCATACCAAATGTTAGGCCATGTAGACAGGCCAGCAAATATAAATATCATATTAAGCAGAAATGTGAAATGTACCTTAGCATATTAGAGGAAGACGCTGATATCTGGATTGAATTGATGCGTGATGAATGCACTTCCACAGCAGTCACGAACAGCAGGAATAGGCGGTAAATTTTCTATGCTTAATTTGAATTGATGACAGTCACGAGACCGATTACTCGATCCAATCACGTTGATGGATACAAATAAAATTAAAACAAGCATGTAACGAGTAACGGCCACAAACAGAAGGAAAATAGCGGAGAAAAAGTACCGATACATCACTTAAAATGTACTCAAGTAAAAGTAAAATTACACAATTTTAAACTTACTCAAAAAAGTACAATTTCTGAAAAAAACTACTTAATTACAGTAACGTGAGTATTTGTAATTCGTTACTTTACACCCCTGCATTTCACCACATATTTTTTCTAAATTTCAATAATTTCCCTCCTACTTCAGAGAGGACTAAGCTTACTTCTTTTTGATTATTATGTTTTTTATCAAAGAAATGTGTGAATATTAAGCATTCATTCTACTTTTTCCAATACTTTTTCTAACTCTGTGTATAAATATACTTTTTTTTTCTAGATGGCCCTACTAACAAGCAAAGAAAAGACTGCTCGCTACAGGCAGCAGAAAATGTTGTTCATTGTGTCTGCAGAATGCTGCTATGTTCAACTGTTAAATGAAAATAGTAATGAAAATGCAAACATTGTATGTTTAAGTGATTAATAAAATGAAAATGAAAAAGGAAAATGCTGTTCAATGTTATGTCCAAGCGTTTAATGCATTAGTATTGAAAATTTTAATATGATGGTTTTGTGTCAAATGAAATAGTGAGGAAACTGTTAATGTTATGAAATGTGTCAAATAAAATGGATATGCTGATTCTTCATAAAATTTCATTAAATATGCTGATTCTTCATAAAATTCCATTAAATGTATTTTAACTATCAAAATCATTGAATAGTCTTAATTGCCTGCTGTTTTTCATCATGTGGGGCGACCATTTGTCATGTGGGGTAACCAACTATATTCAATTCTGCAGTAAATTCAAAAAATAATGTCTGTCCATTTTGGTTGAAATATAATTAATTGGTATAACATCATTAAGTGGATACTATATCTACACATTTTAAATCAGTTTAATGGATTATATGAGTAAAAAAAATATGTAATTGCTTTATGAGGGTGACACTGCCATTATAGATAAAAATGTATTTAACATCATTTGCAATAAATGAAAGGACACATGAGTATATCTTTCTTAAACAGTTCAATTAATTACTGATACTTCTTAAAATATAACTTATGCAAAGGAAATCTATTAATTATAAGATAAATTAAGGTCGCCCCAAATGACTTTTTTAAGGTCATTGCCCTATTCATTTGAGTTTAAAAGCACTAAAATATCTTTGTTTGAAGTTTTCATACACATGCATGTGTAGACTACACTCCACATGTTTAGAAAATAGACAAATATATTATTATTTCAAGTATTTTAAAAATGGGCCTCTCAAAGGCCTTATACGTCATTGACCCATTGAAACGCATATGTACAGCGCGCGTCTTCCTCTGCTTGTAAACAGAAAGTTTTGCGCTTCCAGCTATATCAGCATGTCATCTTATACGGTAGGGGGCGGTTATACTAGCGGTGAGCAGCGGGTAACAAGAAGTAGTCGAAGAAGAACGTCCTCAACTCAGTTCTCGCGCATGCGTTCTGGAAATATCTTCAATTCTCATCTCAAGGCCCATAAGGAAATAATGGAAGAGTCGAATAAAGTCGTTATTTATGTTTTTTTTCGCATAAAAAGTATTCTCGTCGCTTGATAAACTTATAATTGAGCCACTGTAGGCACATGGAATATTTTAACATTTTCTTTAATGACTTTATGGACCGTCAAGAGCTAGTCCCTTAGGAAGTCTATGGAAGAGTGATCCAGCTCTAAAATTTAATCAAAAATATCTTCATTTGTGTTCCGAAGATGAACGAAGGTCTTACGGGGTTGGTACAGCATGGGGGTGAGTAATTAATGACTTAATTTTCATTTTTGGGTGAACTAACCCTTTAAGTAATATTCTAAAAGGTAACTTTCACTTCTACCAAAGTCTTTTTCTAGTATGATACTTGTACTTTTACTCAAGTATTGCTTTCTAGTACTTTATACAACACTGCTCTTGAGACTAACTCGCACTCTTCCAAAAACTTTCACAGTCTGAACAGCATCTTCAATACTTGCTACTTCGGTAAATCGTCAATCAAAAGTATAGCTTGAGCCTCCTCAATCTCTGCCTCCTTACACCATTTGGAGAGTTCAACAAGCAGAAGTGGGCTATTTCCCAAGGCCATGCTGAAACTTCAGGCAGATAATTATCAGTTAACTTATTTAAGCTTAAAATATAACTCAGCTCTTGTTTTCAGTGTCTCTTTTGTCTTCATCAGGGTAACAGGTAATATCCCGGACGAGCCCCCAAATTATGTAGCCCCCCTACCCTTGACCTTGAATAGGGTGGAGTAGGTTCTAAAATTGTATCTCGACTTTATAATAATGTCCCTCCTATTACCCTAATTCACTGCTGTACCCAGGTTAACTATATTTATATTATTTTAGTAATGTGATTATATTGACTGGAATGAACCTAACAGAGAAAACCCTAAATCATCCACAAAAATAAAATAAATGAATATGGTATTAATATACCCTGGAATGAGTTATCAAAAGTCAGACTTGAATATCACAATAATATTCACAGCAGACACAAATAAATGCAATGGGGAAAATCAGTATCTCATAGTACACTTGGTTCGTATCAAAACCACAAACAACAGTAATAAACACCAAAATAACAGAACAACAGTCGATTTAAAAGCGTGGGCCCACACACACACACACACACCTGTCAAAACAACCCACCCCATTGCAGGCCTGTTAAGTTGCTGGGGAGCGTTGTGGGCTTGAAAACAGCAAATGGCACATGAACACCCCCTCACGTGGTATTTACCACTGGGCAACTCGTTATGGACGAGTTGCCGAGATGAGATAACCTTTGACCATTTCAAAATGGCGGAGAGCACCACGAGAGTCGTGAATGGTAAAAAAATTATATACTATTCATGATCTAGAAAATATACAGCATATTATTTACCTTTTGAGTTTTGATAAATCATTTTCTTGCTGTAGCAGATGACTTAAGCAATCTAAAATAGTTTTAGCTAAATATCAGGTCTGGATCTCCATCTTTTTACCACATTACGACAACAAAAGCACTTGAACGCAACACACTGGTAAATACCAGTTCACTAGTGGAAAATATCCTATTTTCCGTAGCACGTGAACGGGGAGTACATATGAAATGAACACGCAGACCCATAAAACGTCTAAATACCTATTTAATAAAATAAATAGCAGTTAAGGTACTTAATTAAGTGTTAAATGTTTCCCGCAACGAACGACTCCCAGATAGCACAATGCTGTTTGATCTCCTATTTACATCTGGAAGACGTATTTTAAAGAGTGTTTGCTCATCTGCAAGACGTGGCGTTTCCTGCAGATGTCAAATAGACGTTTATGATGTCAGTTTAACATGCATTCTGAATCATTACATCTTAGAGACATCTTCTAAACGTCTATTTGACATCTTCAGGAAACGTCCTATAGACATCTTGCAGATGAGCAAACACTCTTTAAAATACGTCTTCCAGATGTAAATAGGAGATCAAACAGCCTTGTGCTATCTGGACTGTTTCCCCCCACGAAGTTTCCCGACACCAGACACCCGACACTAAGTTACCAGACACCCGACGCGAGTTACCCGCTGCGAACGATGTCTCGCTATTTCCGCATTGACAGTGACTTGGTTCCTGTGTGTCCATATGGCGTGTGGCTGTAGCGCAGTGGATTGTGGGTAGGTCCTCGGGTCGGCCATTAGCAGTGTTTCTCCGCGGCTGAAGGAGAGGACAGAGTCATGACGGGATTCAGAGGTTTCGCTCATCTCTCCGTGAGTCCTCCTTCTCTCACACTGCACGGTTTGCTCCCCGCTGTTTAAATGTCGTGTTTTAAACACATACGCGCTGTTTAGGGTCACCACAAGCGTACCGCTGCAGTGTTGCGGGCTAATGCTGCTAGTGTCATTGATGAGCCGGTGTTTGGAAACTTTCCTCTCTTTATTAAACAGCCGAACACACCGATCACGGACCCGGCAGATCCCGGTGTCCTGATAGTGCAGCTTTATTGTGAGTCTGCGGCTGTTTCTGCGATGAAGGTCACCGTGACACACACACTGATACTGTAGGCTACTTTCATTTTTTGTGTAACGGATACTGAGCTTTAATTTCACCGTCGTACTGCTTAAGCAATTTCGTAATAATAGATCCCATGAACGCGATTTTCTTTCCTCGAGAAACTGGTGTCACACACACACATTAGTGTGATCGCTGTATGTCTGTCTTTTGTAACGTTAGTGGCTCCATGTTCACCATCAGCTGATCCTGAGGAAACTGGACTGACGTCTAAATACTGAGAGTCCTGCAAAAAAAAAAAACACACACACACACAGTTACATGATTATTAAAAAAAGGGTATCTGCCGATCATCTGTTTTTTTGTTGTTGTTAAAATAAGGTCTACATCTTGTTTACTTTTTATTGTGAAACAAAAAAGCTATATTTTCAAATTTGTTTCATTTCAATATTAAATAAATAAATAATAATAAAAAAACAAATGATCGGAGCTACCCTGATTGTATGATGCATTACTGCGGTCACATCAGGAGATAATCCGAAAAAAAAAAACAAACAAACAAAAAACAGCCAGAGATACTATATTACAGCCAGAGCTATAAATGAAAAACTGTAATAGATAAATAACATAAACAATTCTTACTTAATCACACACAGAGACACTTTAAGAGATGAAAATATTAATTTACATAAATTACAGTCTAAAGTGCAACTGAATTATTATCTTATAATCGCAAGTTATACACATATGAGGTCTGTTACTGAACTTGGGTCAATTTAAACACTTCAAATAGTCCGTAATGTAAAAAAAAATCGATTATAGCTGTTCAAATGGTGAAATAGCTCATGAGGAATGAATGATACCTGAATGATTCTTTATCCCCCCCCCCCCCCCCCACACACACACACACACACACACTGTACTTCAATTATCAGTCCCTCCAGGATTTCGCGGGCCTTTTTTGTGATTGTTGCGCCCTAAAATGCCTGATGTTGCGGCCGCTTTTTTAAAAAGTTGCGATAAAAGTTGCGATGTTCTTCTGCATGTTTTTATAGGTTAAAACGGCAAAGATAGATAGATTTTTACTTAAAATGCCCATATTATGCTTTTTGGCTTTTCCCCTTTCCTTTATTGTGTTGTTATATTTTTTGTGCATGTTATAGGTTTACTAAGAGAGAAAAGTCCAAAGTCCACCCCAAAGGGACTTACTATGTCCCACAGAAAACACTGTTCATCATCTGCATCTGCTCTATTGTAGTCCAGAATTGACTTAAGAGACAAAGTCACACACTTTGTAACACACGAACAAACTAACTAACCATTAGTAACCATAAAAGGCAAAACAAACGATTTGAAGACACAGCAAAACCTAACAAACTAAGCTTCTTTTTTTTTTTTAAACAAGATCTGCACCTGCAAAAAAGTCAATGTGCAGAACCTCACAAACATTAAGCAGCATTTATGTTGAAAGATGCCAATACTAATAAAGTGCAAAATACAGTTTTAGGAATAGCCACTAAAGTGAAAAACCAAATGTTTGATAATGTATTTTAATATAGCTAATATAATATAATAGCCGCATATCCAATAAAGCTTAATTTTTTTTTGTCAGACAATAGAACGAGTCGGCTAGCTATTTTTTATGTGTAAAATTTTCTGAATTGAGAGAGTTCGGGAACTGGGTGAACTAATGCACTGTGATAGTGAGTAGCCTATTACAAGTGATAAACACAAGAAAAGAAAGGAAAATAAAATGGTCAAACTCAATTCTTTAAATATAAAACAAAAGAGAAGCAGATAAGTGATAAGTCTGTGGAAACAACACTGCTCATTCGCGTCTGTCAGCTGCCGTGCTGCTCCTCTACTGCAGCAGAAAGCAAACCTCGCGCTCGCAGGATTGTGCTGGCAACATTTGGTTACTGAGGTTTGTCCAAAAAGCCGCTAGATTTGTCTCTAGTCTCTTTTTTATATCACTGAATATAGCGACAAAGACTAAGTTGGCAACATTGGCCTTTTCTGTTATTTTTGTAGGTAGCCTAAATGTGAGACGTTGGCAGTCCACATCTGCTGCGTCTTCTGAACAAAACAAGTGAGTTTGCTGACGTATGACGACGCTTTGCAGGAGACCGTGGCGCGATGATTCGTCAAAGTTGCAGAAAAGTTGCGGTGATTTTTCAAAATTGCAAGGCGCACTGAATTCACGTGGATTTGTTGAAGTTGCGTTAATAGTTGCGATCGCGACATCGCGAAATCCTGGAGGGACTGAATTATGCTTGTTTATAATTTGTGTTTTTACCTTGCTTAGGCCTATACTTGTATTTTTTTCAAATAGTAAATATTAATTCAAATAAATTATCTTATTAAAACAACAGTGGGTGGACACACAAAGAGAAGCCTTTACTGGAGAAGTCCCGAAACCAAGTGTTTTACCCAGAGTAGATCATGGATCATTTTCTAAATTATAATTAGTGGATTTTAAAAATTAAAATAAAATTATATATATTAAAAGTACACTCACCGGCCACTTTATTAGGTACCCCATGCTAGTAATGGGTTGGACCCCCTTTTGCCTTCAGAACTGCCTCAATTCTTCGTGGCATAGATTCAACAAGGTGCTGGAAGCATTCCTCAGGGAGTTTGGTCCATATTGACATGATGGCATCACACAGTTGCCGCAGATTTGTCGGCTGCACATCCATGATGCGAATCTCCCGTTCCACCACATCCCAAAGATGCTCTATTGGATTGAGATCTGGTGACTGTGGAGGCCATTTGAGTACAGCGAACTCATTGTCATGTTCAAGAAACCAGTCTGAGATGATTCCAGCTTTATGACATGGCGCATTATCCTGCTGAAAGTAGCCATCAGAAGTTGGGTACATTGTGGTCATAAAGGGATAGACATGGTCCGCAACAATACTCAGGTAGGCTGTGGCGTTGCAACGATGCTCAATTGGAACCAAGGGGCCCAAAGAGTGCCAAGAAAATATTCCCCACACCATGACACCACCACCACCAGCCTGAACCGTTGATACAAGGCAGGATGGATCCATGCTTTCATGTTGTAGACGCCAAATTCTGACCCTACCATCCGAATGTCGCAGCAGAAATCGAGACTCATCAGACCAGGCAACGTTTTTCAAATCTTCTATTGTCCAATTTCGATGAGCTTGTGCAAATTGTAGCCTCAGTTTCCTGTTCTTAGCTGAAAGGAGTGGCACCCGGTGTGGTCTTCTGCTGCTGTAGCCCATCTGCCTCAAAGTTCGACGTACTGTGCGTTCAGCGATGCTCTTCTGCCCACCTTGGTTGTAACGGGTGGTTATTTGAGTCACTGTTGCCCTTCTATCAGCTCGAACCAGTCTGGCCATTCTCCTCTGACCTCTGGCATCAACAAGGCATTTCCGCCCACAGAATTGCCGCTCACTGGATGTTTTTTCTTTTTCGGACCATTCTCTGTAAACCCTAGAGATGGTTGTGCGTGAAAATCCCAGTAGATTAGCAGTTTCTGAAATACTCAGACCAGCCCTTCTGGCACCAACAATCATGCCACGTTCAAAGTCACTCAAATCACCTTTCTTCCCCATACTGATGCTCGGTTTGAACTGCAGGAGATTGTCTTGACCATGTCTACATGCCTAAATGCACTGAGTTGCCGCCATGTGATTGGCTGCTTAAAAATTAAGTGTTAACGAGCAGTTGGACAGGTGTACCTAATAAAGTGGCCGGTGAGTGTATATTATAACCTCTGTAAAAATGAGAGAACATTACATGTATTAATTATATATGGTGTTTCTTTGTTCAGACTCCTACAACGGAGGCAGAGTGGAGAGAGGTGGCAATGGGATTTGAAAACAAGTGGCAATTTCCTAATTGCTTAGGAGCCATAGATGGAAAGCACATCTACATCCAGCCACCTGCAAACTCTGGAAGTACTTACCACAACTACAAGTCCAGATTTTCTGTTGTAAACGACGCAGATCACAGATTTATTTATGCTAATGTTGGCGTACAAGGAAGAGAGGTCTGCTGAGCCAGAGCCACTACCAGGGAGCAACACATCTTATGCATTTGTTGGTGATGAAGCTTTCCCTGTCCGAATCGACCTGACGAAGCCATACCCCTTCCGAAATACGGATCATGGGCAGCGAATGTTCAACTACAGGCTGTCAGGGGAAAGGCGTACAGTTGAAAACGCATAAGGAATTTTGGCCAATAGACTCTGTGGGCACAACTTCCTGAGGAAGAAGGCGTCAGATGTGTATCTGCCTTCAGCCTATGCAGATGTAGAAGATGACGATCACAACAGAGAAGGGATGGAGGACTGTCCTCTGGAACGCCACAACCAACGACAAAAATCACAGAGACAATTTAAAGGCATATTTTCTTTCACCTGCTGGATCTGTTTCCTGGCAGGAAAATAGGATTTAAACACCAATTCATTAAATATTTTCATATTGACCATTTTTGCAAGACGTATGGAAAATTTGCTCAGAAAGACTTCCTTCCGTTTTTTTTAACTATACAAAGTAGTACAGTATACAACCAACATAAAGGTTGAAAACTTTAGTAAAATGTTAAGGGATAGTTCACGCAAAGAATTTATTCTGTCATTAATTACTCACCCTGATGTCGTTCCAAAGCTGCAAAACCTTCATTCAATTATGTGAATATTATGTAAAATTATTTATATATTTTTTTATTTATAATTATTTAAAAAATAGTAGAATGTGTAATGGTAAAATAAGGTAATATGATTTGTGTTGTAATAATGCACAAGATACATTTTCTTTAGTAAAATCTTTTATTGAAATAAAAAAAAAACAGTTTTCTTGACTCATTTCATAAGTCGCAAGTTTTGAACCAGGGGAAAATGCCTCGCAAACATTAACCCTTTTAAAATGTGCCAGTATTGCAAAACTGCTTAAACATAAACAGCATTCAAAGTGCCAACAACAAACAGCATTTAAGACACAATGTGACTGCAGTCTAGCACCATCACACAAAAAGGGATCAATACTTCAACTTACACCCCATTTATTTCCTGGTCATACGCCACTCCTACTGCCCTGAGGGAGCTCAATGGAGGCGTTACAGAGGGTACGTGAATGGATGTATTCTGGTAGGATTGATTCAAATTTGTGTGTCCCTGCCAAGGTGTTTGGGGGCGTAAAGGTCGCCAGGGGTCAGGATGTAATGCTAATCTGGCCTCATTTTTATGTGCATCGTATAACATCATAAGGATGTTGCGGTGGAGTCTCATCTTGGTCAGTGGGTCTTTCACTTAATCTCAGTAACTACCTGTTTACCAAACATCAACATCCGTACCGGCATTTACCAGTCTTTCAGATAAATTTTTTTTAAAATGGTTACTTTCTCCATTTCAAGTTCATCTAATGATTTGTCTCGTAACTTTTGTTTGGCTTTGTAATGTGGTCTTTTAGGAATAGGAACACAGTTTTATGCACTATTGTAACCTTGTTTTTCCTTGCATGCACATTTTTGAACGAAATTACAGTAAATATATTTTATATAACATTTAGGCTACATTTATTCATTTAGCTGAAGCTTTTATCCAAAGCGACTTAAAATTGCTTTATATGTCAGAGGTCGCACGCCTCTGGAGCAACTAATGTTTCAAAAACTAATGAACTAGACATTCTAACAATGACAATATGAATATATATATTAGGGCTGGGGTAAACGATTATTAACTAAACGATTAGTTGGGCGATTATTTTATCGATTAGTCGACTAATCTAATGACTAATTGGACGACTAATATAAAGAATATTTTTTCTGCTGCTCAATTAATAAAAAAACAATATCTCAAATAAATACTAGCATACTGAATCAAGATACTATACAGTGGCTAACGTTAGTCTAATGTTATGTATTTGAACACCATCATAACTCTACAACCGCCAAAACCGTGTTATTAAAATATTTTTTACAAACATTTTTTATCATAGAGAATGTTTAAATATTAATATCAGCTGAGGAGGGAAACGGAGGCGGAGGTGGAGTTCACCTACTGATCAGAGCGCGTGCTGACACGGAGTTAAAGCCTGGTTTATACTCGACACGTCCGCACGAGCGTGAATGTGCGCACGGCAAAAATGACCCGTTGGGTGCGCAAGACCAGGAAGACTGGCTGGCTGTGTGTATGCCTTTTTTTTGTAACAACGCGCCCGGCGCCGCGTCCGGGAACGACTTCAAGCCGAATCTGCCCGAGCTTGTACAAACCGAATTCCATAAAAGTTGGGACACTGTACAAATTGTGAATAAAAACAGAATGCAATGATGTGGAAGTTTCAAATTTTAATATTATATTTAGAATACAACATAGATGACATATCAAATGTTTAAACTGAGAAAATGCATAATTTTAAGGGAAACATAAGTTGATTTTAAATTTCATGGCATCAACACATCTCAAAAAAGTTGGGACAAGGCCATTTTTACCACTGTGTGGCATCCCCTCTTCTTTTAATAACAGTCTGCAAACGTCTGGGGACTGAGGAGACAAGTTGCTCAAGTTTAGGAATAGGAATGTTGTCCCATTCTTGTCTAATAAAGGCTTCTAGCTGCTCAACTGTCTTAGGTCTTCTTTGTTGCATCTTCCTCTTTATGATGTGCCAAATGTTTTCTATGGGTGAAAGATATGGACTGCAGGCTGGCCATTTCAGTACCCGGATCCTTCTTCTACGCAGCCATGATGTTGTAATTGATGCAGTATGTGGTTTGGCATTGTCTTGTTGGAAAATACAAGGTCTTCCCTGAAAGAGACGATGTCTGGATGGGAGCATATGTTGTTCTAGAACTTGGATATATCTTTCAGCATTGATGGTGCCTTTCCAGATGTGTAAGCTGCCCATGCCACACGCACTCATGCAACCCCATACCATCAGAGATGCAGGCTTCTGAACTGAGCGCTGATAACAACTTGGGTTGTCCTTGTCCTCTTTAGTCCGGATGACATGGCGTCCCAGTTTTCCAAAAAGAACTTCAAATTTTGATTCGTCTGACCACAGAACAGTTTTCCACTTTGCTAGAGTCCACTTTAAATGAGCCTTGGCCCAGAGAAAACGCCTGCGCTTCTGGTTCCCGTTTAGATATGGCTTCTTTTTTGACCTATAGAGTTTTAGCCGGCAACGGTGAATGGCACGGTGGATTGTGTTCACTGACAATGTTTTCTAGAAGTATTCTTGAGCCCATGTTGCGATTTCCATTACAGTAGCATTCCAGTGTGTGATGCAGTGCTGTCTAAGGGCCCGAAGATCACGGGCATTCAGTATGGATTTCCGGCCTTGACCCTTATGCACAGAGATTGTTCCAGATTCTCTGAATCTTTGGATGATATTATGCACTGTAGATGATGATAACTTCAAACTCTTTGCAATTTTTCTCTGAGAAACTCCTTTCTGATATTGCTCCACTATTTTTTGCCTCAGCATTGGGGTAATTGGTGATCATCTGCCCATCTTGACTTCTGAGAGACACTGCCACTCTGAGAGGCTCTTTTTATACCCAATCATGTTGCCAATTGACCTAATAAGTTGCAAATTGGTCCTCCAGCTGTTCCTTATATGTACATTTAACTTTTCTGGCCTCTTATTGCTACCTGTCCCAACTTTTTTGGAATTTGTAGCTCTCATGAAATCCAAAAGGAGCCAATATTTGGCATGGCAATTCAAAATGTCTCACTTTCAACATCTGATATGTCATTTATATTCTATTGTGAATAAAATATAAGTTTATGAGATTTCTAAATTATTCCATTCTTTTTTTACTCACAATTTGTACAGTGTCCCAACTTTTTTGGAATCGGGTTTGTACGTCTCACCACACCGGCACCCAGTTTGCGCGTCTAAATTGCATTTTTTTTTCTTAAGGGTTTGTTTACTGTGTGTGATTCATTTAATGGATAGCACATTCACTTCTAGTTGTCTTCGTCCTCTATTCTGCAATGTTTCGGTCTCCCACGTGTGTGTGGCAAGCTGTACCGCCGGGAACATGCAAAAAATAAATAAATAAAGAAGCGTCGACGCAATTTTGACGTCGAATCATCGAAGTCATATCGACGTCACTAGGGACTTTAAGCAACAGCTGCGAATGGAACGGCTACGGCATTCTGGCGTTGCATTGCGCATGCGCGAATTTAAATGCTCCTTCCTGACGTTCTACTGTAACCGTCTACTACGGGAGAACAGCTGATTTGCCGTAGTCGCTACAACGTGAGAGATTAGGTAAATAAACGTTGTGTTTTATGGCATATGACATTGTTATTTCATCAGTTTATTAATGTACCATTAGTCTTTTATATAATATATGTAAAAATGTTTAAAATGTAAGCTAATTTTAACGATTTTGTCCCGTTTGAATAAAGATATGTCTGCTGTTAGCAACAAAACCTCAGGTAGCACTGAGATCAACGTTAGAGATGATGTGAAGCGAACAATGTAAGTATTACATAAACATCCTTCTCAAAATCCATCTTAAATATATTAATTTACTATGCTATTTAAATGTTTTTCATACTGGGTAAAGTAGATTAACAGATAATAAATAGATTAATGGATTAGTTATTATTAGTATCTATCAAGACCGTTAATTATACTTACTTTTCAAAAATTAGCTATAGTTACTTCATGTTTCTTGTTGATTAGAGCCCCTATGGAGTGGACAGAGCAACATGATGTCCTTCTCTGTAGAGAAATCCTGCTCACAGAACCATTCAGGTACAAGAAGGGCAGTGTTGATAAGGGCAAGGCCTGGTCAGCAATTGCAGACACACTGAATAGCTCACAAGATCTCAAATTTAGAGTTATGCAGAGGTCAGTGAGGGAGAGATTCAGCTTGATTCAGGCGAAATACAAGGCCAGAAACAACAAAGATGAGAAGAGCAGCGGCACATCGGCAGAAATAACAGAGCTTGATGAACTGATTGAAGAAATAACAGAGAAAGAAAAAGCAGCTGAGGAAAACAAAGCGAGTGATGAGAGTATGAGGAAGTTAGAGACCGACAGGGCCAAAGCAGAAGAGGCAAGGAAGAGGGCCATGGAGAGGGTTAGCCAGACCAACAGGAGACTTAGTGAAGAGGGAGAGGACTTGACAAACAACAAACGTAGGAGAAGGAGTGGGAATGACACCATTGATTTTTTGAGGGAGAGAAGCCAGACTGAGAGGGTTCTAAAGGAAAAGGAATTGGAATTGAAAAAAATAAAAGTTGAAGGGCAAGCAAAGGCAGCACAAGAAGCACAAAAGCAGATGAGCGACATGATGCAACTAATGCAGCAGCAGCAACAGCAAATGCAGGCAATGCAAACTATGCTACTTCAGCAACAACAACAGCAAGGGCAAGCATTACTTAGCCTAATTGAACATTTGGCAAAGAAATGATTATTTTATCATTTTATTGCAATTCATAAAACATTTAAATGCATAAATCCTTCTATTAATAAATAAATTAACAATTATTAAATAAATATAAATATAAAATAATAAAAACATAAAATAGCATATTTTCAATAACATTTTGTTAGTAGCATATACTGTATGTAAATTGTCTGTTTTGTGTAAACTAATATATATATATATATTTGTTAATAAAAAAATAGAAATCTGTTATAAAATGTCTCATTCTTTTATTCTGTTTTTATATTGTGTGTTTTTTATACTGTTAAATTCTAACACAGTATAGTTGTGCTACCTCATGAGAAATAGTCACGAATGTGTGGAGGATCCAAGTTAAAAAACTGCGATGTCTGATTACCGTACAGACAAGTTAGTGCATTTCTTAACAAAGCAGACACAACATACAATTTTCCAACACTACTCAAACCAATTTTTTAATTTTTTTTGAAGTCCATGAACTTGAAGTAGTTTGCTATGTCCCCAAACAACCACTCAACAGACACTCTGACTTCACTCATTCGTTTGTTGTATTCCATCATTTGAGGGGTGAGATGAACATGTCGAAATGGGGCTTGTAGATGCACACGCAGTGGGTATGCTGGGTCCCCATACACACACATTGGATGACCATCTACAGACATGGCATGATGTTGCAGTAATTCCAACAGCCCAGATTCTGCCAGCATTCCAGAGTCATGCTTCTTTCCCTCTGTTAAAATATATATATTTTTTATTTTAAAATGTTTTTATTTTATTTTATACATTTAAATGGGAATGTCAATGTTTTCGTAGATTGCAAATTATTTAGACTTACCTACAGGACCATACAGATGGCCAATTAAACCATTAGGAATGGCTACTGCCTGGTATTTTAGACTGTGGATGCGTTTATGACCATTATATAAGATCCTCTGTGTTACACCTGGTCTGGCAATGGGTCGTACAGTGCCATCAATAAACCCAAAGCAATTATCCAGAGGGGCTCCCATTTGGAGGATGCAGTCAGCATATGTTCTCAATGCTACAGGGTTCAGTATTTTTTCATTCCACTGAGTTATCCTGTGATGGTGTGCAGAATATATATAGTCCAGCATGGAGTTTGTGGCCATGCAAAAGGACCGGAACTTGTCTGTGACCAAACCTTTGCATCATATCACTGTAGCGGCAAGGGTATGCCAGCCTCTTAAGGAGCATACATAGCGCCTCGACTCCTCCCACAACACTTCTCTGATCACAAACAATTCCATTGGGAATCCCGAGAACATCTACCAGAATTGCTAGGTCACATTTTCTGACACGAAATTCATTTAAGCATTCATCTTCATTCATGTAATCAAGGTTAAAAGGCAAGTATTGCTTACACGGTAAATCTAGATTTTTAGACTTATTTACATCATACAGTAGTAAAAATTCCTCTTCTGACAATAGATTGTCATTTAATGCCAAAAGCAATCCTTCTCTTGCTTTTTTAAATGACATTTTTTGTATCTCAATAAATGACTGAATGCCGTGTTGCGCCGTCCTTGTTTACGGTTGCTTAGTGATTTTTACGTTCTTGGCTACGGCGGTCTGACAGCATACTTCCGGTCACCGGTGCCGTTCCATTCGCAGCTGTTGCTTAAAGTCCCAATTGACTATGTGCACGAGAAAAATGCTAACTTCCGCCTTGAGGGCGGATGTTGGGTACTTCGGTTCCGGTTGCCGTTGTTTACATCCTACATCAGTGGACCGGCTATCTAAAGCTTAGCTATCTAAATATATTTGTCTAAAACTATGTTCGTTTGTTCATTGTCAAGTTAATCAACACAGTTTTCTCTCATATTTGGGTGGAGCCAGGCGCTGCTGCATTGTGAAAAGTAAACGATATTTCACATTTTGTCACCGCACCCAAGCAGTCGCTTTACCAAATGGAGCGTTGCGTATATCCATGACAACTAGAAGGAAGTTTTTAGGCTACTAATTATTTATTATATTATACCCTTTAACCAGGAGAAGCCCCTGGGTTTAGAACCTATTTTGAAAGGGAGACCTGTTTAGAGATGTGTGAAAACAGCCTAATATGTGTTAAACAGCCTAACTTGATAACGAACGAACCAACGTCGGATACCTTTACTCCCTGTATGACATGTATATAGTAGTTGTCAACACTGATCTATATGACGATAGTGGTTGTCAACAACATAGCCTCTGAACATCATAAACAAAACAATGGCTAACACAAACTGTTCTGGAAAATGCACTTTCTAACGCACGTAGCATGGCAACATTAATGTCCGAGTGATTCCACGTGTACCGCGTATGTACACGCCGTCAAATGTCAGAGCGAAACAAAACAAAATGTAGATCTACATCTGGGGAGCGATATTTATTTTTTCCTAGGATGGTAGGAGTGACGGGTAGGTTGGGGTTGAGGTAGGTCATATGCTATATATATATATATATATATACACTGTGTATAATATATATATATATATATATATATATATACAATAATAACGTTAAGTCAAGAGATTATGCGTGTTGATAGCATGCCAAAAATACGTGATACGTGTCATACATACGCAATTTCATGAGATCAGTCTGAGCATGGATGTTGTTGTGACTTAACTTTCCCTTCAAGATGTAATATTTAAACCCCTTCTCTCTTGCTCTGGGGAGCTGGAGGAAAATCATTAGCCAGTCGATGAACATAATCGACTGTAATATTCGGCAAATGTTCAAGACATCTGGAGAAACATACATCCTCTACGTCGTCCATCAGGCTGCCGGAAACTAGACACCCCATATCGGTTTCGCAGCCGGAACTAGCATATGCTAACGTGCACATAGTCCATTACCCCACTTGCGATTTTTTTAAAGGGATACTCCACTTTTTTTTGAAAATACACTCATTTTACAACTCCCCCAGAGTTAAACTGTTTAGTTTTACCTTTTTTGAATCCATTTAGCCGATCTCCGGTTCTGGCGGTATACCACTTTTAGCATAGCTTAGCATACATCACTGAAGTGCACAAGACCAGTAGCATTTCTCTCAAAAAAAATTACCAAAGTGTTTCGATATTTTTCCTATTTAAAACTTGACTCTTCTGTAGTTGCATCGTGCACTTCGACAGACGGAAAATGTAAAGTTGCGATTTTCTAGGCTGATATGACTAGGAACTATACTCTCATTGCTGCGTAATAATCAAGACACTTTACTGCCGTACCATGAGTGCAGCAGGCGTCTAAGTGCAACATAATCGACTGTAATATTCGGCAAATGTTCAAGACATCTGGAGAAACATACATCCTCTACGTCGTCCATCAGGCTACCGGAAACTAGACACCCCATATCGGTTTCGCAGCCGGAATAGCATATGCTAACGTGCACATAGTCCATTTTCAGTTTGACAGCAATCCCTCCGCGCTTTGCCTCGTCTCCTGCGGCGCTTTCTGCGGGGAGCCACAGTAGGCCAGCTGTGCAGACATTCTGGAATATCCCAGGTAGAGTTTGGAGAACAGGATTGTGGTCCAGCCACAGAGTTTTTAGACTCTGGGTTAAATGTGGCCACAAAAGAGTCTCGAATATCCAGAAGGAACTGGCGATCATAAACCAGAAGCGAGTAGCAGTTTGATGCGGATAAAAACACACATATAGCACAGACAAGCAGAGACGTCAGACGGCATGCCACGTACACCGGCGCCATCTTTTTCCCGAGAGATGAACTAATCAATTCTGTATCCGGTACCGACTGCATAGCTCAGCTACGGTTAGATCCCAGTTATTCACATATCATTTTTACGTCTTTTGCCGTTATCAACATATTAATAATTTCAGTTGCTTGAGAAAGCCAACATACTGAAATGCTATTAAACTTTCTGACTGCTGCTATAGAGCGATAAAGCTAGAACCACCAAACTCGGGTCAGACCTTTATACATGTTAAATGGAACATATCCGTAATGTTGCTGTGGAAGGTTATTCGTGGTCTGTTGTAGTTGTTTGTTAATGTTTTTTCACTTTCAAATGATTTTATAATGTTGGATGGTTAAAGGGTGAGTAGAAAAATGTTCTCATATTTTTGAAGATATTTCATAGAGCGAATTACCATTACAGTTTAAGGGAAGTTTCTCCTCACACAAAGGGTCATGGAAAAAGGTGGATCAAAACCCAACACGACACACACACACACACACGGAAAACTTGCTGAACATGTTCTCACTCTCAGGCATTCTCCAGTTAAAGTGTATGTGTCTGAATCAGGAGAGGAATATCGCAGATCAAACATTGATAACAATTAAGCCAGAACAGTGTAAAGAAATATGTGGACGATTTCCCAGCGGGATTTCCATGTAAAAAGTCTTTGACTGGAAGAAGCATTATAATGAGAACAAAGATGATTCTGTAACATTACTTAAAGCCCTCACGTATAATGCATTATTAAAGTATTTTTGACCCAGTAATTATGCCTTGTAATGCTGATGTATTGATATAGTATGATCTCATTAATAGCCTAATTGTAACAGTTAATATACCTTATAAAACGTATCTATTGATTGAATACACCTTTAGAAAGTATAATGCATTACTATTTACATTACTTTGTAAATAAATAAACAAACCCATACATACCAATCCCTCTATGAAGCGTCATGTGAGACTGTATCCTCTGATAAATGACTTGCTTTTTTAAAATATCAACCATCTGCAAAGCATTCTGAATCACTGCAAATTCATATTTCAACACATCATAATGAAATATATCCTGAGGAATTGAAAGTCTTTGTTTTTAGGTACTTGTGTGGATGGAAAGAAGAATATGAACTCTAACAGAAATGTTGAACTGGTTTGATGTATTACAGTTTTTCTCGATTGTTTACACACATTTTCTGAAAGAATGCCTCATATTCTCAGAACTCTACACACAAATCTAAAAACACTCACACAATTGGCAAAACCCCTCAATTCTCCTGCAAAATGAAACTTTACATTCAAAACAATGTTATTTCTTCTCAAAATGGTATTTTGTTTTCAAATGACACACACAAACCATCATATGAATAGACATTTATAAGAACCAGTTGAACACTGATGTGCTCAATGTAAAACACTATGATGAATGGAAAACACTTCTTCTCCATTCATCATAATGAATTGGGCCTTTTTTGTTCAGTGTTACACTTACTACAGACATTACATACATAAGTGTGTTGTAAAATATTTGAGAATATTGTTTTTTATACACAGAACACACAAATACACTGTAACAAATATATTTTATTTTCCCCACAAAATCAATGGGAGATAGATCCCACATTTTGTACACCCCAACCAACACAAAGTTGCACATACAGTGGTCTACATATACAAAACAACAGAATTTTTTATGCTGTTACAGTAAAAAAAGATATAAAAAATATCTATGCTGCATCTTCTCTTTGGTTTTGGTATTTTATGCTAAAGCTCCGATCGCTAATTGTAAAACTGTGTGATATGTGTTTGCCCATGTGACGAGTCAGTGTGAATATTTGAATGGCAGTGTGTTCCTCGTGAAAACAAGAGATTTTCTGCATGAAAATTGTGCCAAATGCAGAGAATTGTGTGTAGTGTTTTGAAAAACGTGTGTTTTAGAACTGCAATTTGAGTGTAAAGCAGGAATTGTGCTTGTAGTTCAGTAGAATTGGCTCAGGGGGTTGGTGAATGAGTTACGTGTTGTGGTCATTGTGTCTCAAGTACCAGAAAATGTGTGTAAACAATCGAGAAAAACTGTAACTTATATAGATGTTGTGATTAATGAATGTTTTAGTGCAATTCAGTCATTTAATCAATGACTCAGAATGTAATCTAACACTGAATCGAAGGTATAAATTGAAGTCTTTGTGAATTGTGTAACTAAACAACTGATAAGAAAATGTTCTTAAAATATTTTAAATGATATTTACCACTTTTTGCATTAAATGATTTAAAGTCTCAGCAGTGCATGCGGGATCTGTGAGAAACACTGAAACTGTTTCTTCAAGTGTGAACTTGAGTTTCAGGAGTTTTGACTTGTGCAAGAGTGGCGATATAAAGACTTGAATGGACTTGTTCTTCTCTCTCTCTCTTCAGTTTTCTAGATACTGGCAACATGTGTTAATAACTATGCCACAAAGGATTGTACTTGAATTTTGTTCAATTTAAATAAAAACCAAGATAATATACAGTATATATATATATATATATATATATAAGTCAAACACACACATTGAATAAAACAAATTTAAATAGTTGTGAAGTTAAAAGTAAGTGTTTGTGCTGCCTTAAAGTTTTAGGTTTACTCAACTTGAAATGTGAAGTTATACTAAGTGACAACTTGGATATTTGAGTTGATTAAACGTACAATTTTAAGGCAGCAAAAACACTTAGCCTACTTTTTAAAGTTCACACCTATTTTTACAGTATACTTTAAAATATAATTTGTAGTTTACTCTTAACTGACAATGTTAAAGCAAATTGGAATTAAATTAATGACACAAAAACTGTTTAGAAGGGCAAAGGGAAATTTTTCACAAAATACAAATATTTTTAATAACTGTTAAAGAAAGGGCTATGCAGAAATTTTGCATAGAATGCACAGAAACATACAATGCACAGCATGTCAAAAACAAACTTAATTTGTTTAATTTCATAACCTATTATTGTCACAATGCGGTCCACCTGGCCTCACAAGATCTCTCTCTCCTGAGTTCTAGGACTTCACTTCCCATCTCTCCCAGCAATTATCATCTTCCAGTCCTGTTTCATCTCCATCTGTTCCCACTCAGCTCCCCTTTATCTGGTTCTCTCTCCCCGCTGTTCCCTGCGAGGTCTTGTTACTGCCACGGCGAGCAATTCTGAGCATCTTTCCTGAATTCCGTCTATTCCTGGTTCCTCGATCCTTGCCTGTTTCCCTGACCACTCTATGAACGTTTGCTGCCTGCCTACGACCCCAGCCTGGTAACCACTTCGAGTTTGCATTTTACATTAATACGCTGATTTCAGAAGACAGTATGTGATAGTGAATGTTAAAGGGTTAGTTCACCCAAAAATGAAAATTAAGTCATTAATTACTCACCCCCATGCTGTTCCAACCCCGTAAGACCTTCGTTCATCTTCGGAACACAAATAAAGATATTTTTGATTGAATCTGAGAGCTGGATCAGTCCTCCATAGACAGCCTGAGGGACTGCCTCTTGACGGCCCAGAAAGTCATTAAAAGAAAAGGTTTAAATATTCCATGTGCCTACAGCGGCTCAACTATAACTTTATCAAGCGACGAGACTACTTTTTGTGCGAAAAAAAAAACGTAAATAACGACTTTATTCGACTTTCCATTACTTCCTTATGGGCGCATGCGCGAGAACTGAGACGAGACCGTTCTTCTTCGACTACTTTTTGTTACCGGCTGCTCACCGCTTAGGAGTATTAGCGCCCCCTACCGTATAAGATGACGTACTGCTTGTAAACAGAACGTTTTGCGCCTCCGGCTATATCAGTACGTCATCTTATACGGTAGGGGGCGGTAAAACTCCTAAGCGGTGAGCAGCCGTAACAAAAAGTAGTCGAAGAAGAACGGTCTCGTCTCAGTTCTCGCGCATGCGCCCATAAGGAAGTAATGGAAAGTCGAATAAAGTCGTTATTTACGTTTTTTTTCCGCACAAAAAGTAGTCTCGTCGCTTGATAAAGTTATAGTTGAGCCGCTGTAGGCACATGGAATATTTAAACCTTTTCTTTTAATGACTTTCTGGGCCGTCAAGAGGCAGTCCCTCAGGCTGTCTATGGAGGACTGATCTAGCTCTCAGATTCAATCAAAAATATCTTTATTTGTGTTCCGAAGATGAACGAAGGTCTTACGGGGTTGGTACAGCATGGGGGTGAGTAATTAATGACTTCATTTTCATTTTTGGGTGAACTAACCCTTTAACAGTAGTGAATCTTAAAGATGTGGCACTTTAACTGTTTACAGTATATATCTGTGGATATTGTGAAGCTGTAGCCTACTGCAATACACAACACAGGTCAATATTTTGCATTCCAGCTAAATGTTCCATAGATTGAGTCCTGGGCAATTCTTTATCTTCATCTTTGTCTTCATCGTCATCATCTTCAAAGGTATATGTGTCTGTGAGAGATAATGAGAACCCCCCCCCAGAAGTTTACAGATTTGTTGCTCGTCTATCGATACCTTTAATAATGTGAATGATCAACAATTGGTAGCCTATTTACATTCACCATGATAAAGTTTCTATTTATTTTGCCACAAAATGTAGCACAAAACTCATTGTTCAAAAATGCCTGATGTTGATAAACGATGTAAACATGTAATTATAAAAATGTCAAAACCACTGATAGGAAAACAAGCATTTGTGGACTTAGGACTCAGAAACTTACTTGTCCAGGTTCTCCCATGAGAAGACAGTTGCCTGCATGCTTATCACTGTATATGTGCCTGAAATGAAAAGGTCAGTTAGTGTAAGACTATAAATGCTTTTAATAATGTCAAACACTAGTAAATAATGCGTACTTCCTCGGCGCTTTGCGTAAATATGATCATCATGATTAATGCCGTAGAAACCAAGTGTGCGATTGTTCTTCAGTGTCTTGGCGAATTCGAATTCGGAAGAAACACGAGGAACAGCGAGAAACACACACACACACACACTCCTCATTGACATGTGCTTTCTGAATTATGTTATTTATTTGCTAACTTCTGAATCTCAGGCTTCTCCGTTAATAAGAGATTCATTCAAATACAGGTTTTCTTCATTAGCATAAATATTCTTCCCACTGTCCGCTAGTGTCCACAGAAGACTGAAATTATGGACTTACGCTGGTCTCCAGGAATGAGTTTTCTCTTTAACTCCTCCACTGTGGTGTTCCTGAACTCCTCTTCTGAATTCGCCACACAAACTCTTATTCTCTCCACTCCTTGTCTCATATCAGTAAAGTAGATCTGTAAACTCAAGCTGAATGCGCTCAAACTTTAACTAAATTACCTCAGGATGTAACGTTAGAAGAAACTGTTCTGATGCACACAGTGATGGACGGTTTCACTTTCTCTGTTTAAATCCGACATCAGACACCGCCCACTTCAGGTAGCCTACTTTTATACAGGACGAGTTTCTTCATGTGATTCTTAGACTTCCAAAAAGTATTTGACACTGTTTTGGTGTGTAGACTCGGTCCACTTTGGAGTTTTTACGGATGGGCGGGACTTACCAGATCTCGGGGTTCCGGTGTGTCCATATATGGCGTGTGGCTGCAGCGCAGTGGATTGTGGGTAGGTCCTCGGGTCGGCCATTAGCAGTGTTTCTCCGCGGCTGAAGGAGAGGACAGAGTCATGACGGGATTCAGAGGTTTCGCTCATCTCTCCGTGAGTCCTCCTTCTCTCACACTGCACGGTTTGCTCCCCGCTGTTTAAATGTCGTGTTTTAAACACATACGCGCTGTTTCGGGTCACCACAAGCGTCCCGCTGCAGTGTTGCGGGCTAATGCTGCTAGTGTCATTGATGAGCCGGTGTTTGGCCGCTGGAAACTTTCCTCTCTTTATTAAACAGCCGAACACACCGATCACGGACCCGGCAGATCCCGGTGTCCTGATAGTGCTGCTTTATTGTGAGTCTGCGGCTGTTTCTGCGATGAAGGTCACCGTGACACTGACACACACTGATACTGTACTTTCAGTCACATGTGACCTTTGACCCGGTCATCATCATCGTCCAGGATCATGATGAGACCTTTAGACCAAAAACAATATGATGATGGAGTCTGGGTTCATAGGAAAACCGAGGGACATCAGGGCTTCAATTTAAATGTGTGATTTCTGGGTTTGATAAAATATTGAAAATTGACAAATAAAAAAATAAACGTTTGGGTAAATGTTCTACACTGATAAGGCCTTTTGATTTCACTCTTTTTTTTTTCTCTTTAAAAAAAAAAAATATATATATATATATATATATATATTTATTAAGGCATGTGGTTTGCGCAACATTTCTTAAAGGGACAGTTCACCTAAAACTGTAAACGTTGCCATCATTTATTCACCCTTATCTTCTTCCTACAGAGTTTCTTTCTTCCGTTGAACACAAAAGAAGATATTTTGAAGAATGTCAGAAACCAAACAGTTAACTTTTTATTTACTATGGGCTTTTTATTTACCATCCATCAACTGTTTGGTTTCCGACATTCTCCAGAATATCTTCTTCTGTGTTCGACGGAAGAAACTCAAACAGGTTTAAAACAACATGATGACAGTTTATTATATTTTTGGGTGAACTATCCCTTTAATTAGTTATTTTAGTTGAAGTCCGTTGATGTTCATATTGATCAGATTTTGATTTCGAGTTGTTAGCGTTTGACTCGTATTGCTTTTTAGTCTTAAAGTCAACATCAAATCAAAATTGACAGTTGTTATTTGTTTATGGAATATTGCAGTATTTGTTATAATTGATATCTTAATCACTTCCTCTCCTTCTAGCAGTGACATCTCTTCTCCTGAATTATATAATTATAAATGTATTACAATAGAAAATGATAATTTTTTAGTAAAGAAATACATTACTCTTGTACAGTGGAATTTAGATACATCTTAATGTTATAAATACACTATTAATAAAAATAATATTAAATAATCAAATATTTTTTAAGGAATAATCACAATTTTTCTTCCATGTTTTTATTTTAACAGTATAAAGCTCAGATTTGTGCATCATGTTGTTTGACAAAAACGTTTGTTTCATATATATGAATTGAATTAATGTTTTCTATCTTCATTTGATTATGAGATAATTTGTGGGGGTATATTTCATAGAAATATTTTTTTTTAATTATTAAAATTGCTGTTTTTTTATGAATTCAATTATTCAGAGTGACATTCTTTTTGATTAGCCTATTATTTGTTAAAATATTAAATAGTTTGGTTAAACTATTATTATAGTTTAACCAAAAAATAAAAAAAGCGGATTCCAGAATAAAATAAAACGCAATTTCTGAGAAAATTGTATTTTTTATTTTATTTTTGTGAATTGTTTTTTTTGTTTTGTTTTTTTGCGTTTTGGATTCCATTTTAATGTTTTAATTAAATTGTAATAATCAAAAAGAATGTCTAATTAATTGAAATCATTAACGCAACCAATTTTAATAATACAATTTAATAAAAAAAAATTAAAAAAAAAAATCTACGAAATGTTTTTTCCCCCACAAATCCTGTGGTAAGCTTCACGAAGCGTTGTTCTGGTGTACTGACAGCGAGTGTTTCCCCAGAGACGCTGTTACGCCTCCGCCAGGAGGAGCGAGGCGCTGACCGAACCTCTGCTGACCCGAAAGCCCGCCGCTCCACCAGCCCTCACGCCACAGGACGTCCAGGTGAAGTGTGTGTGTGTGTGGGGGGTTCTCTCAGGTCACATGACCCCTGCTGGTCTTCTGACTCTGTGGTCTGGTGCAGGTGTCCAAGCTTCCCAGCGGCCTCCTGGTGGCCTCTCTGGAGAACTACTCCCCCGTCTCTAAAGTCGGCGTGTTTGTGAAAGCCGGGAGTCGATATGAAACCGTGGAAAACCTTGGAGCCACTCACATGCTGCGGTTAGCGGGCAATCTGGTGCGTTCACACACACCAGCAATGAATACATAGCAGTATATGTGACCCTGAGTCACATACTTATACTTTCTTGTCACTAGTCGTGTTTTATGGCGCGTGAGATCCAAACAAGAAGCTTCCAGTCTTTTTATTGGCTTTATATTTTACACAAATATCATTCAAATCCACAAGTTAGCATGTCCACATACGATCCTGACACGTCAACAATAGTTTGCTTCCCTCATTAGTTACACCTGACTTCCTATATACCTATTAAAACCCACATTCCACCTAGTGGCCAACAGTGGAACTACACCACATTATAAATCGAGTACACTGGCTCTCAATCATACTGAGTCTGATTTGATCAGACGCGCAGGGGATGTTTCTGTGTGTTTGAAGTGTGTTGTGTGTTTCAGACCACTAAAGGTGCGTCCGCCTTCAGGATCTGTCGGGGTCTGGAGGCAGCGGGAGCCAGTTTGAGGTCAGCTTCTTCATATAGTTATCCATGAACACTTTCTGTATCGCACGCTGTCGTTCCTCTAACTGTCCGGTTTCACTTGCTTGTGTTTAGCGTGACGTCTTCGAGGGAACACATGGTGTATTCTCTGGACTGTCTGCGGGATGATTTGTGAGTATCTCGCAGGAAATGTGTATGTGTGTGCAAGCATAGATATAGCTTTAAAAACCACACCAAATTTTACGAGAACGGCACAGAGAAACAATATTGTTAGAATCACTTTTGGCTGCACTTTTATGATGGATAGAGGCACTTTTATGATGGAGAGATGCAATTTAATGATGGATAGATGCAATTTAATGATGGATAGATGCACTTTTATCATGGAAAGATGCACTTTTATGATGATAGATGCACTTTTATGATGGAGAGATGCACTTTTATCATGGAAAGATGCACTTTAATGATGGATAGATGCACTTTAATGATGAAGAGATGCACTTTAATGATGATAGAGGCACTTTTGTGATGGATAGATGCACTTTTATGATGATAGAGGCACTTTTATGATGGATAGAGGCACTTATAATTAATAGATGCATTTTTATCATGAATAGATGCACTTTTTTCATGGAAAGATGCACTTTTATGATGATAGATGTACTTTTATGATGGATGGATGCACTTTTATGATGGATAGATGCATTTTTATGATGGACAGATGCACTTTTATGATGGACGGATGCACTTTTATGATGGATAGATGCACTTTTATGATGGATAGATGCACTTTTATCATGGATCGAGGCACTTTTATGATGGAAAGATGCACTTTTATGATGGATAGATGCACTTTTATGATGATAGATGCACTTTTATGATGGATAGAGGCACTTATAATGAATAGATGCATTTTTATCATGAATAGATGCACTTTTTTGATGGAAAGATGCACTTTTATGATGGAAAGATGCACTTTTATGATGGATAGATGCACTTTTATGATGGATAGATGCACTTTTATGCCATTCACTGCCATTAAAAAGCTTGGAAGATCCAGGACATGTTTTAATATAACTCTGACAGTATTCGTCTGAACGAAGAATCTCATAAACACATAGCATTACTTTAGGGAGAGTAAATCATGGGATTATTTTCATTTTTGAGGGTGAACTTATGGATATAAGGTGTTGTGTCAGTAAAGGAAAAAAAAATGTGTGTAATAACGACTTGAATCTTTTATTATCCCTGACCCTGTTGGGTCGAGGAGTCTGAGTCGACTCTGAAAAACCTTGAATCAAACACTCCTATTGTACACGAGTCTTCTGAAGCCATATTGTAGTTGTTAAAAACAGATTCAAATGTATAGTTTTATTCAGTTATTTATTTATTAATTTGGGTCAACTATCATTTTAAATGTCTTTGTTTTAAGTCAAAATCAACTGCCAACTTTAATCCCTAACTAAGTAAATCAGTAGTTTTATCATTATTACAGTATTTTGTGTCTTTTACTCAAATCCATTGTGTGAGATTCGCTATATCAGAAGTCAACAACCTTAGGCACAGTTTGTCAGTATTCAGTGATCTATCACCTCATGTCTCCTTAGCATCAAGAATCGCTGATGTTTTATTTGTTACTGTGGCAAACAATGTGTATATAGCAGATATTGCACTTGCAAAATGGTCTAAAAGATTGGATTTGAAAACTAACTGTGTGTGTGTGTGTGTTTGTGTGTGTGTTCAGTGAGGGCATGATCGAGTACCTGATCAATGTGACCACTGCTCCGGACTTCAGACCCTGGGAGTTGTCGGACCTCTCGCCGAGGATCCAGATCGACAAGGCCGTTGCAGACCAGAGCCCACAGATCGGTACCACACACACCGATACCAATGGTGACATCATTTGAGGACCCGCGGAGTCTGACTCTGATGTGTGTTTTCCCTGCGCAGGTGTTATTGAGAAGCTGCATGAAGCGGCGTATAAGCACGCGTTATCCAACTCGCTGTACTGTCCAGACCACATGGTGGGGAGGATCGGCGTTGATCATGTGAGTGGCTGACCGCAGCTCTTCATCTGTGGTGTTTCCTGAGCCGTTTGCTAACTCTTCTCCTTCTGCTCTTCAATTCCAGCTGCAGAAGTTCTTCGCTGATAATTACACCAGTGCCAGGATGGCTCTTGTTGGATTAGGTAAGACTTTCTCTTGAATGCTTTTTCAGATATTGCCTTTCATGTGGTGTGTGATGTAGCTGCTAATGTCTGCTAAGATCTAAGTGCAGGATAAATTGAGTTTTTGTCTCCTAAAAGAAAGAACTGTCTGAAACAAGTCATCAGAAATTCGCCCTGAACTTACATAGGTTTGTTACAAATTTGCATAATGCCGACCAATCACAACAGACTGGGCCATCTGACCAATCAGAGCAGAGTAGACCAATCACAACAGACTGGGCCATCTGACCAATCAGAGTAGACCAATCTCAACAGACTGGGTCATCTGACCAATCAGAGCAGAGTAGACCAATCACAACAGACTGGGTCATCTGACCAATCAGAGGAGACCAATCACAACAGACTGGGCCATCTGACCAATCAGAGTAGACCAATCTCAACAGACTGGGTCATCTGACCAATCAGAGCAGAGTAGACCAATCACAACAGACTGGGTCATCTGACCAATCAGAGTAGACCAATCTCAACAGACTGGGTCATCTGACCAATCAGAGCAGAGTAGACCAATCACAACAGACTGGGCCATCTGACCAATCAGAGTAGACCAATCACAACAGACTGGGTCATCTGACCAATCAGAGCAGAGTAGACCAATCACAACAGACTGGGTCATCTGACCAATCAGAGTAGACCAATCTCAACAGACTGGGTCATCTGACCAATCAGAGCAGAGTAGACCAATCACAACAGACTGGGCCATCTGACCAATCAGAGTAGACCAATCACAACAGACTGGGTCATCTGACCAATCAGAGCAGAGTAGACCAATCTCAACAGACTGGGTCATCTGACCAATCAGAGCAGAGTAGACCAATCACAACAGACTGGGTCATCTGACCAATCAGAGTAGACCAATCACAACAGACTGGGCCATCTGACCAATCAGAGGAGAGTAGACCGGTCACAACAGACTGGGTCATCTGACCAATCAGAGTAGACCAATCACAACAGACTGGGCCATCTGACCAATCAGAGCAGAGTAGACCAATCACAACAGACTGGGTCATCTGACCAATCAGAGTAGACCAATCTCAACAGACTGGGTCATCTGACCAATCAGAGCAGAGTAGACCAATCACAACAGACTGGGCCATCTGACCAATCAGAGTAGACCAATCTCAACAGACTGGGTCATCTGACCAATCAGAGCAGAGTAGACCAATCACAACAGACTGGGTCATCTGACCAATCAGAGTAGACCAATCTCAACAGACTGGGTCATCTGACCAATCAGAGCAGAGTAGACCAATCACAACAGACTGGGTCATCTGACCAATCAGAGTAGACCAATCTCAACAGACTGGGTCATCTGACCAATCAGAGCAGAGTAGACCAATCACAACAGACTGGGTCATCTGACCAATCAGAGCAGAGTAGACCAATCACAACAGACTGGGTCATCTGACCAATCAGAGTAGACCAATCTCAACAGACTGGGTCATCTGACCAATCAGAGCAGAGTAGACCAATCACAACAGACTGGGCCATCTGACCAATCAGAGCAGAGTAGACCAATCACAACAGACTGGGTCATCTGACCAATCAGAGTAGACCAATCTCAACAGATTGGGTCATCTGACCAATCAGAGCAGAGTAGACCAATCTCAACAGACTGGGTCATCTGACCAATCAGAGTAGACCAATCACAACAGACTGGGTCATCTGACCAATCAGAGGAGAGTAGATGGTAGATGACAGACCGAATGTTTTATCGAACCAGTTCACACACTGTTAGAAAAGAGCTGATGCTGCAGTTCTAAGATTAAGATCTTTTCGGTCTTTGATGGATGTAAACATGTTGTAGGAGACCTCAAAACAAATAAGTAGCCTTTAAAACACCAAAATAGAGTCAAAAAGACAAATACTGTTTTGTAGCTTCTACTAAGTAGCCCAGACCGTGTGATAATTGAATGTTTTTGATGATGGTTGTGTGTAGGAGTGAGTCATGCTGCTCTGAGGAAGGTGGGAGAGCAGTTGAGCGGACTCTCAGGGGCCGGAGCACCAGGAGCCGCAGCCGTTTACCGTGGCGGTGAGTGAGAACATGCGTCTCCCTGCAGTGATGACCGTGTGTGTGGGACTGATGAGTGAGCGCTGGTGTTCTGCAGGAGAGCTGCGTGTGCAGAATGGAGGAGGGCTGGTCCACGCGCTGATGGCCTGTGAGGGGGCCGTGACGGGCTCCGCCGAGGCCAACGCCTTCAGTGTCCTGCAAAGGCTTCTGGGAGCCGGACCACACGTCAAGAGAGGGTCTAACGTCACCAGCAGACTCAGCCAGGGCATCGCCAAGGCCACCGCTCAGCCCTTCGATGTGAGGAACGCTCTTGTGTCTTCACTGCTCTGAAGTACTCATGCTTACACAACCGCTTGCTTAGTGCTGGGCGGTCTGAGCGAAACATTATCACAGCATTTTTCAAACAGATACTGCTTTCATGGTATGACGTTTTTTTTAAACATGACTGGGTGATTGAGAGAGGAAATACTGCAGTAGATTGACTTATAATGCCTTATTTTACTGTCATGAGTGAATATTGACGACAAAATCCACACTAATATTAGTTTGCAGAGTTTACAAAGAGGCGCTTTAGGGGCGTCAGAAACAGCGGTTTCCCCGGTAACAGCTGTACACAAAGCGGTTTCCCTAGTAACGGTTGTACACAAAGCGATTTCCCCGGTTACGGCTGTACACAAAGTGGTTTCCCCGGTAACGGCTGTACACAAAGCGGTTTCCCCGGTAACGGCTGTACGCAAAGCGTTTTCCTTGGTAACAGCTGTACACAAATCAGTTTCCTCGGTAACGGCTGTACACAAAGCGGTTTCCCTGGTAACGGCTGTACACAAAGCGGTTTCCCCGGTAACGGCTGTACACAAAGCGGTTTCCCCGGTAACGGCTGTACACAAAACGGTTTCCCTGGTAACAGCTGTACACAAAGTGGTTTCCCCGGTAACGGCTGTACACAAAGCGGTTTCCCCGGTAACGGCTGTACACAAAGCGGTTTCCCCGGTAACGGCTGTACACAAAGCGGTTTCCCCGGTAACGGCTGTACACAAAACGGTTTCCCCGGTAACAGTTGTATGCAAAGCAGTTTCCCCGGTAACAGCTGTACACAAACCGGTTTCCCTGGTAACAGCTGTACACAAATCGGTTTCCTTGGTAACGACTGTACACAAAGCGGTTTCCCTGGTAACGGCTGTACACAAAGCGGTTTCCCTGGCAACGGCTGTACGCAAAGCGTTTTCCTTGGTAACAGCTGTACACAAATCGGTTTCCTCGGTAACGGCTGTACACAAAGCGGTTTCCCTGGTAACGGCTGTACACAAAGCAGTTTCCCCAGCAACGGCTTTACACAAAGCGGTTTCCCCGGCAACAGTTGTACACAAAACGGTTTCCCTGGTAACGGTTGTACACAAAGCGGTTTCCTCAGTAACGACTGTACACAAAGCGGTTTCCCTGGTAACGGCTGTACACAAAGCGGTTTCCCTGTTAACGGCTGTACGCAAAGCGTTTTCCTTGGTAACGGCTGCACACAAAGTGGTTTCCCCAGCAACGGCTGCACACAAAGCGGTTTCCCCGTTAACGGCTGTACGCAAAGCGTTTTCCTTGGTAACGGCTGTACACAAAGCGGTTTCCCTGGTAACAGCTGTACACAAAGCAGAGCAGCGCTCATAAACGCTGCTTTATCATGAAAGATTTGATGAAAATAACATCAACACTTTTCTAAAGACCATCAGTTTACTTCAGATACATTCATATAAATACACCCGTGCCGCGTTTTGACTTTGAAACGTGCAGTGTTTGTGTTCATTCAACCATCAAGGCTTTTGGTAAATCTATTTGTGGCGGGCAGTGTTCATATTGTGAACCAATGTATGGGAAACACTGTAATATAATATGAAAGCTATCAATCAAAGTTTACCATATTCATCTCCACCGTCACGTTTAGTAACACACACAGATGTGCACTGCCAGTGAAAACACCCTCTCAAACAGTGTAACTGTGTTCCCAACATTGTTAAAGCGATATACACAAGTATTGCTATATATTAAAAATTCATGTCATAACAAACACATACACTAGTATTCGGTATGAACCGGTATAGCGCCCAGCACTGCTCTTGCTGCAGTTGAGATGCTTCTGGTGTGTTTTCTGCGCAGGCCACGGCTTTCAGCTCCACGTACTCGGACTCTGGGCTCTTCGGGGTGTACATCATCTCTCAGGCAGACTCGGCCCGCGAGGTGAGTGTGTTCAACAAACCCTTCCTTGCTACACACACACAACGCTTTTCTGCTGAGCTGCTTTATATCTGAATTGACTTTAGACCATAATTGATGAATTTTGCAACATTGACACAGTTGAATGTGGGTGAAATGTTCCTCTCAGGGGCACCTGCAAGATTCTCATTCATGGTTTGCAAAATAAAACACACACACACACACACACAATCACGAAACATGTCTAGGTGAAAATCACCCCCTAAAAAGTTTTTTTTATTTTTTAATTATTTAAATTATGAAACGCAGTATGTGTCTTCAGCAGCAAGCCCTGACAGTACAAGTACTAGTTTAAGGGCAGCGCCACCTTGTGGTTAAAAGTTATAATTAAATTTACAAAAAGGTTTAATAACTTTAAAAATATATATATTTTGGCCATTTTCACTTTATTCTATTAATGAGAGAGGACCGTTCAGAATGGACAGAAAGCAAGAGAGAGTGGGGGAGTGGGATCGGGAAAGGTCTGGGACTCGAACTCGGGACGCCTGAAGCGCTCATGAGCCATTCACTTTTGATTAAATTAGCCTATTGTAATGAACCCGGTCTACTTTTTTTTTTTTTTAACTCTTCCTAGACCTTTTTTATTCTTTATTTTCACCATATTCAATTAAGATCATCTTAAAAAAAAGTTACAGATTTCATATCAATAGACAAACCGTTTTCATTTTACCGCATCAACAAAGTTGATAACATGATAACGACTCTGAGGCTGTATCTCTGCAATGTTTTGTTATTGTCACCTCAATCTGACCACAACACATCAGTTTGGTAAAGCGTGTTAACAGTAAATGTTCAATTCTCTCTCTCTGCAGGTGATCAATGCAGCCGTGGCACAGGTGACGGCTGTGGCTGAAGGTAAACTCACCGAGGAGGATCTGACCAGAGCAAAGTGAGTCAGCTGACTAAATCACCAGTCTTTGCATTGGCAAAGCTTTTACACCCATAATGCACTGCAGAATAATCAGTGCCTTCTGAACTAATGCAACTGAAATGCTTGTAGTTACAGTAAAAATTTCTATAAAAACGACAGGCTTTCATAAATCTGCTGTGGTCGAGTTCAGAGTTGGTGTGTGTGTGTGTGTGTAGGACCCAGCTGAAGGCGGATTACCTGATGTCCCTGGAGAGTTCGGAGGGTCTTCTGGAGGAGATGGGTGTTCAGGTGATCAGCAGCGGCTCCTACAGCTCACCAGAGTCTGTCGCGCAGGCCATCGACTCCCTCACCGCCAGCGACGTGCTCAAAGTAAGACTCTTAACCGTCCGGTTCTCTCGTGAAGCCAACACGCATGTGACCTAAACTGCAGTTCATCGACTGGCCACTAGAGACAGGCTCCAATCCCATAGACCCCAATGTTAAAGCTACACTGTGTAACTCTTTTAGTTTATTCTTAGCTAAAAAAACAATATGCTCATTAATGTATATTAATGATTTAATTAAGTTTATTAATTAAAAAATATTAATTAAGTATTCTCGTAAGTGTAGCCTATAATATGCCATTGAAAATACATACGGGTGAGCGGTCGCCATGTTGCCCCTCCATCTTGAAAGTACATTAGCCAAAGAGGGACATACGCGTTAATTCAAGCTTCGCTTTTCTCGTTTACATTTGTGTTAACACTCATGGACGAGGTCGAACTGGAAGCCATGTTAATCTTGGACCTCATTGGCCACCGTAGGAGTTAAAACGAAATCGGAATTGAGAGGAACAGAAACTAATATTCCCTGGATTGTCATATACCTTTTCACCACTAGATGGGGGTAAAAATCACATAGTGTAGCTTTAAAATGCCCAACTTAACAGAATGTGTTTTAGCCTGGCGCAAAAAGTGGTTTTGGTCTATAAAGCTAATTTTGCCCTTCATGAAGACCATTTCACAAGATGTAAACAACACTGGTCCAGAAGCACTTCCTGTTTCAGTTTGTAACTGTTTTCTTTATTTCACTTTAAAGAAAAAATCTTAAAGATGTTTGTTTAACTTTTTGATTCAGTTTTAAATGTTCTGTTGGTTGTATTTTATCCCAGCTTTTATGTAGTGTTAAAAAACTGAAACAGGAAGTGCTTCTGGACCAGTGTTGTTTACATCTTGTGAAATGGTCTATAACTAATCAGTTTTAATTCAATTGAGCCTTAAAGTTCTGCATAATTAAGGGTGTGGCCACTTGAGTGACAGGTGGATTGCTGCTGAAGCCACTACTAGCCGTCAAATTTGCTCAAAAATGACGTTCGAATAGTCCCTCTAAAAAAAACATGTTTTCGAACATTGTGACGATGCGCATTACGTCAATAACAGGACAATTTAATTTAACGAGACATAACTACTCGTAGGGATGGGACGATAACCGGGATAAAATGTACTGACGGTTAGTATTATCGTTTAAAATTTAATTATCATTAAAACCGTGTTTGATTATCGCGATTTTAATAACTCACTGAATCCTGTCGGCCAGTCTGACGCAGGCGCGCAGCACGCAATATTTTTTTAATTACTATTGGAGAAGGAATGGTGGAAGGCAGTGACCGTGCTCAGGAGATTTTTCAGCCTTTTAAGAGGACCAAATCTGAGGTGTGGTCATATTTTGGGTTTTACAAAAGTCCTGAGGGAAACTTGATCGAGGATGGTCCCCCTGTCTGCCGAACAAAAAGTCACTGCAATAGAAACACTTCAAATCTGCCGAGTCGTCTTGTGTGATCGTCACCCGAAAGCAAGGCAAGTTAACTTTGACCTCAATACCAAAACTACGTCTGGGAAACAATTGGGCACGAAATGTTGTTTTGAGTTGAAACATTTCATGTCACTCACTTGAAATAGACGTCAAGCTTCCGCGAAGAAAAGTTCGTAGCAAGTGGATTTGAGCCAAAGACGAACGAACAACTTCAAACAAGACTGTTATTCAGAGTGATATTTTAAGGGATAGTAAAGTATAGATACATCACGTATTAAACCGATTTTATTTTTACCACATAATTACGGGGACATATTGAATTGATAATGTGATTAGCTAATGTTTTAAATCTTACCTGTTTATGAATTCATTTAGTAAAACAATCGTCCAGACGAGATATATCACACCAATATTATCAAACTCTGTAAGCAATAAATCAACTCTGATTTCATTTTTGCAATACAATCAAAAACCGGAGACGCAAGACGGCAAGTTGTGTTTGAATGAAACAAGAGCGCGCGTCTGTTGTGATATGGATGTGCGCTGTGTAATAATGCGTTGCTATTGACGACGGGCATTATAAAGAAGCAAATGCCATAGAATAGAATCTTGCTTAAAAAACTGCATAGAGAGGCTTGTTTTATTTGTTGTTTGTTGATTTTCAATTATAAAACTTGTTGAAATGTTTTCAGTGTGAGCATCAGTTCTTTTTGAGCACTTTCATAAATTTAATAAAACCGTGATAATATTGATAATCACGATTATTTTGGACACTATAATCGTGATATGAAATTTTCATACCGTCCCATCCCTAACTACTTGATAGTTTATTTAAGTTTAAACATATTTGACAACGTATTGCCTACACAAAAACAAGCAAATCAACTAACTAACGGCCAAGACTGCAGATCTCACTCTCGCTCGCTCACTCACACTCTCTCTCGCCCTCTGCGCATAATAACGGTTTAAACGAACAACAACAATAAACAAATGCTGAGTGCTGATCAAGAGCATGAAACGGCTGTATCTAACCTACCGTATTCATGCAGTATCTATTTAGCCTACACTTTAGTGATTTCCCTCTGATTACATTCGAATAGTTTTAAAAATCGGAATTTCGAAGCTGAAAATTTTTCGATTTTTAAAACTATTCGAATTTAGGGTATCTGTTGACAGCCCTAGCATCACGTCACCTCAGCTAATCCGCCTCTTTGTCCATTTTATCGTTTACCCGGGAGTGACGCGATGGCAAGATGGCGACGGCCGGCTCCGCCCACTACAGGTCAAACCTACGGGTGATGTCACGCACACTGAACGCCCATATTTTTATACAGTCTATGCTTTTAACTCATGGCAAGCCAAGATCTCGTTAATCCACTGAGCTATTTGCACTGGGGGAAGCACCAAGCGTCGCAACACCAGTTATTGGGACCGAAAGCTCAGAAACCGAGAAGGCAGCCTGAGCGAGACTGTCACCAGAGCCGTCAATACCTTCATCAAATGTCCAAAATGCTTTTTTTTTTTTTTTTTCAGCAAATATGTAGTAAATATTTAGTCTGTAGGCCTTAGGGTCTGTTCACATATCCCATCTTTTGCACGCTCAAGTTCGTTATTTCAAGTTCGTTATGTCAGACCCATCATAAACTACACTACTGTTCAAAAGTTTGTGAGTCGGAAAGATTTTTACGTTAACTTTGTATATTAGTGACCTAAATAAACTATTCTCGTGACTAATGATATAGGCTAATAGCTCACACGGTGGTTTCGCCAGTGGCTCGACTTGCGCATGAAATGGTTAAAGCAGTGAAAAAGCAACTTTTCTTTTTTTCTCTACAGGCTGCAAAGAAGTTTGTTGAGGGCAAGAAGACCATGTCAAGTTGTGGACATCTGGCCAACACACCATTTGTTGATGAATTGTGAGGGGAAAGTCCTAGTATAAAGTGCACACATTGTGCTGCTGCTTCCTCGAGTGTAAAAATAATCCTGATTACTGTTGACGGTTGTATTTTTTTTGGTCTGTTCATCATGAAGTCTGGTCTTTAGTAACGGTGTACTGAGAACACAGCCATCCTTTTCACTGTATATGTGCTGTACATTCATTAAAGCAAGTCTATTGGTCATGAACTGCTCGTCTGCTTCATAATTTGTAAGTATTTCTTTCATAAATGTCTATCTGTGTGTCAGTTCTTCCAGTGGCCTGAGGAGGGAGACAATGAGGAGATAAACGTGTGTGTGTGTGTGTGTGTGTGTGGGGGGGGGGGGGTAACTAAAAGTAAGACAACAACAAAAAAATGTTTGTTTTGGCTGCATTTAAAAAATAATTTCACAAACTCTTTTTCACTAGAATCAGGTCATGCACGATTAATGCTTTTTTGTAATTAAACCATTACCAGGCATGTTTTAATTTAGTCAAAGATGTAGCATAAATGAGTTAAAAATATGTCTTTTATATATATATACACAGTAAGTTATATATACTTAAACTAACTTATATCGTTTTAAACTAGTCAAAGATCAGTCAATAAAAATAAAAACAAATTTCAAAATACTTGTCTCCTAGCTAAACACAGTATTGAATATTTGTCAAAAGGTTACTGAAGTATGAACACTAGCTTACCTTTTGGCTATTTCCATAATATGTAAATCAATTATGATCATCCTTCCACTTTTCAAGTGTCTATCTTCATATCTGTATGCTTAATATTATTTTTTTTCAACATTATCCTTTTTTAGTTATTATTTATTCATTTATATTGTAAACATAAGCTGAGATTAGTGCCCGAATGCGCAACTAAAAGCATTTTTATGGCGATCGCATGCTTTTTGGACCCCGCTGCTCGTCATTCATAATACAAACACGTCATTGTCCCTTTGTCCTCCGTCCATAACGCATATATTGTTCATGAAATATATTTTGAGATTCCTGCCTGCATTAAGTGGGTAATTACAAAAGTGCTGACAGATGTTGATGCCCGCTCACACACAGAACTGACCTCCTCTGGTCACGCGGAGGAGTCTCGCGAGAGTATAGGCGACGGCGAGATCTCGCGGGCCTGTTGTGTCTGACGACAGACGCTGCGTGGGGGTTTTCGCTTGATGTCATAAGGAAAGACGCGAGAGAGGAGCGTTTACACCGCCGCTTCTCATGCTTCTGCGGCTTTCTTCACGAATCCACCCAGTTTAACGATCTTTCTCCGCATATTTCGGCGAGTTTTTCGGGCACGAAGGTGATGCGGTGCTGCCGTGCTCGCGCTCGGCGTCCGTGAAGCTGCGCGCGCAGCTGAGCTGAAAGATGGACCACAACACCGTCAACCAAAACGGCCGCTAATTCGTTACTTTCACGCCCTTTTCTGCTGTTAAATCCGGCGATCGAGACTTTATTTGAGATGGATACGTGGACGTCGAGTGAAAGAAGGCCCTCCGGGGCAAACAAACCGTGTGGAGGATCTGTAGCCTGTTAGCAAGTAACGAAGAAGAAGCCCGCAGTGTGTGATGATGATGATGATGATGATGGAGCATCAACTGTCAGGAGGAAGATCAGAAACACAACCTGGTCTTTAGGGATCGTGTGTTTCCTTCTATTCATCTGCTGAACTTCTAGCCATATCATTTCATAACACACACACACCAGACACACACACACACATATATATATCAGCGCATATCATGCGGGCGGACTCGAGCAGTGCTGTTGTTCACTGATATATCTGTAGTGTAGAGAGACTAGCTCAGTTGTTCACTCCTGAATCTGAGCCCAGGACACCTGAGATGGATAAACTCACCATTATTTCAGGATGTCTCTTTCTGGCTGCGGATATATTTGCCATAGCGAGCATTGCCAACCCGGACTGGATCAACACTGGCGAGTCAGCAGGTGAGAAACCACATCTGATCAATACCCAGTGTGTGTGTCTTTAAAGAGATGTGTAACGTTACATGCCTGCTTCGTCCTCATCTGTTCTGATAATAATGAAGTTCGGGCTCAGATTACATTATAAAGATAGACATCTTAACAGCGTGCATTAATGACGTTTACTTTAAAGCATGATTACTGCCAATTGCTATTTCTATCTTTGTACACAATCGCATTTGAATGTGCATTACTTGAGCTGATAAGCATTTACTGTTGTTTGTTTAATTCAATTAAATTTAGCAGAGCTGGGCCGTGTATTGAGACCAAATGAACGATTTGATTCACAAGCTTGCGATTCGGTTCTGATCTCGATACTTTTGGATGTATATCAGCCACAGCCGTTTAATATTAAAAGTATATCACTTATAAATTATAACATACATCTTAAATCATAATTTTCACAGGGACAGCAGATGCAAAAATTGCCTTTTGGCTTATTCTGGCACACTATACATTTATTTATGTATTATTAGTGTGCATCGTCTCTGTTTAATGCATCTGAAATAAATACATTTTTATAATAAACAGTACAGACTAAAACATCAAATCTTTGGATTTAAAGAGATAGTTCACCCACAAATTAAAAGTTCCAAACCCGTAACATTTTTGGTGAAATCTGAGAGATTACTGTCCCTCCATTTACAAACTACGCAACTACCATTTATCACCATTAAATGGCTGGTGAAATGCCATTTTCACAAGATGTAAAATACATCTCTGATGTCCCCAGAGTGTGTAGCACAAAATACCCCACAGATATTTTTATATAGCATGTTAAAGTCACTTTTTTAGGGTTTGCAAAAAAGCACCGTTTTGTGCCTGGCCCTTTAAATACAAATGAGCTGCTGCAGAGGGCGGGGTTTCAAAAGCTGCTGGTTCAGATTATACAATTTTATTTGTCTGTTACGATAGTCACTGTGTCAGATTACGCGATTTTGACTCGTAAAATCTTGTCGTGTCGTGGACAAGACACATGTCAGACTACACGTTGCTTCCTGACCAGTCATCGCATGCCGTCTTTAACGGCGTGATGTCATCGAGAAGGCGAAACTAATAGTGAGTGACTTCCGGGAACGAACGTAAACAAACAATGGAAGAAGCGGTGGGTGTTGTATTGGCTGTCCAGTGTTCAGAAAAAAGTAAAAAAGAAAGAAAACCCGACAATGGACACGTTCCTGGATTGCTCGAAGGGGACAGTATGGGCTGTTAATCCTCCAAAGAGAACTTGAGGTAAAATATTGTTTTCTTATATATTTTTACTTTTAGTTTTAACATTAGCGCCATCGTTTCTCTTTCGTTTCGCCATTTTTGAAAGTTGTGTACGGAAAAGCTTCTGTGCTCCTATTGGTCAACCTCATACATGTGACGGAACCGTCGTGGGCGACCGTAAAAACAATTAAACATGCTAGTCTTTTTGTCGTGATGAAGCATCGACATTATGCCCACTATGACGCACTATAAGAGATGATGCGATCGAATCTTGTCCCGACGCCCGTTGTCGTTTACGAATCCCCACGACACCCTACGTCAAACGGATCGTGCCAAAATCGGGCTAAAATCGTGTAATCTGAAGCAGGCATTAGCAGCTGCGATTTCCTCACGCAGACGCACTAAAATGATAGAAACTGTTAGTGTTTTCCCTTTAATGTTAAAACGGAGTCAGTCAAAGATGGAGAGACTAAGAAGAAGTGACGCAACAGGACGTCTCTGAATGTTAGTTGATGAATTTATGTTGCTGATGCAGGGCTCCAGACTAACTTTTTTTACTAGGAGCGCTGTTGCCCCTGACTGAAAATTTTAGGAGCGCAAGCAGAAAATTTAGGGGCACACTCAGCTTGCAATGCAATTATTCAAATTTCCCCCAAAATAACTGTAATAATGACAAATTCTAATAAATAGACTTAACATTATGATATGTTGTTTTATTTTAACTTCACAGGGTTCCAGAGTTCTACAAAAAAAAAAAATAATTCTGGTAGCACTGACAATAAATCACTAAGCTTAATTTAGGGTGTAGATGAAATTAACTTTAGTTATTCATTTATAATGTCTTAATATTAATTAATAAAAGTAGTGAAAATATGTACATAGAGTGAAAATAGCCAATAAACATCCTACTGTTTACAATGGTATTATTTATTTTTTAAGTGTTTAAATAAAAGTTTTCCAACATCTTAAAATTTTTCTTTTTAGGACAATCTTTAAAGGTTGAACAAAAAATGCGTTGGTAATCACATAAAAAATACAAAAAAAATAAAACATATGATATTATTGAAGTGCTGGGAAAAGATGTGTAGTAGGCTACTTGTAAGCATTTGACTATTTCTTACACATTATCATATTTATGGTTAGAGTTAACTTACTACATTAGCCTAAATCCATGGTTCTGTTAGGCTGATTTGTGGACTGAAAGCCTTCTATAAGTGTTTTTCCTGGTTTCCACGTCAGCGCTGTTTGATCTGATATGGTTTAACAGAACTCTGCGCCGAATCGGAGTGTTTCTCACTGGATCTCGTGGTGTTGATGTTATTAATTCTGAGGCGAATTCAATGGATTTCTTCACTGGATCTCCTAGTAACAGTGTTGCGTGAGCGAGATCGGCCCGCGACTGGCAAGTTCGAGGCTTTATGGTTCGGATCGCAGCTGCTGCTCCACGGTCCTAATCATACATGAGTGGCGTATTTTCGTTCCGCTTTCATTTTGTTTGCATTCGCTGCTAGGTAACGACTAACGAGTCGATAGATCGCCGATTGCTCAGACGCACATCAGGTTGTGATATTTGTCTCCGTCTCCTTCCCACAGACGTTTACGCGCGCTATTCTTGTCACGGATTCATTGACGCACCCCTTCCACGCTTTACCATGCGTTTAACGTGCGGCAAATTTACTGGTCGCACATGTGCGACTGGATGTAAAATTCAGTCGCACACTCTCAAATTTTGGTCGCAAAATGCGACCATTTGGTCGCAGTCTGGAGCCCTGTGATGTGGAGTTAACTATCTTCAATTAGCATATTCTGTCATGTAATCTATAAATCGCTCATATAGGAAATGTTGTGAGATGCACACGGATGTGTAAAGTTTGAGCTGACTCACAAATGTGCTCTTAAACAACCACTCTTCCTCTTCTCAACATGGACTGTGTTCCCGGGGGCGGGGTTTATGTACATATTAGGGTTGGTGATGTCACTAATCTGGGAGGAATGTTGTGTAGTCCCTACCAGCTGTTTGTTGTAGTCCTTTTCTTTAAAAGCAAATATCTTCCTTTGCTTTGAACTTTGAGCGTTGTAACTTTGATAATGTCATTTATGCTCAAACAGCAACAGTTCACACTAACTAAAGTTCGAAAAGTGAAATCATAATCAACCACCCCTTTAAAATATCTTCATTTGTGTTGATAACGGATGAACAGCATTTTCATATCAGTGAACTAACCTTTTAAGTATCAATATATGTTTATCAAAATGAGAATCTATTAAACCAAATATCGATATTTTCAACCCAGTCCTAATATTTCCCACAGGTTTCCATGATCACTGCTATATCAGTTAGGGCTGGGTATTGAGACAAATTTCACAATTCGATTTCGATTCGATTCAATATGGATTATTTTGGATATCAGTTACAATAAATGGCCATTTTTCTCAAGGAAATCAAATCTCTTAACTAATGCTGTAAACTATGGGAGTCTAATTGTAGCCTATAGGCTTCATTAGCCTAATATGAAGGTAATAATGAACTGTTTTGTAGCTATACAAACACTTAAATTACACTTTTATTTATTTTTATAATAAGAAGATTATATGAAATATAAACATTTAAATGGTGGCTGTCATAAAAACTTGCCAGATTTATTCAAATATGCATTAAATATTGAAATAACATTATATGTAATATGGTGTATATATTTAGCAAAATGCTCCTCTCTGGAGTTATTTTTTCTAGCTGACTAACGAGTTTATGAGGGTTTTCTGAGGTAAATATGACGATACATGACATTGATTACAAGCTGTTTAACTGACGTCTTTCCATGATTGAAACGCTGATTGAGCGAATCAATGTGACATGATACGGATTTCGATAAGTTGTACTCTATCTTTAACACACTTTCATGTTTATTTGGCGCTGTGACTGTTATTATTAAGCCGGACGAGAGATCAGCGCTGCTGCTTCTCCAGAGCGATCTCACGCCACAGCGCCAAAACGCTATTTATGTTTTTGAATTTCTAAAGAAAATGGACGTAATTTGAAAATTGAGACTTTGTTTCATGTCAATAGAAACAAAGGACAAAGATCATTGCGATTTTTTTGGTATGCGCGCAGCCGCGATACAATGTCCCATTCATTCAAATGAAACAGGATGACTAATCGATTCTTGAGATTTAAGAATCGATATCGGTTCATAAAAATGAGAATCGATTAATATCGAGAAATCGATATTTATTACCCAGCCCTAATATCAGTGAACTTTAGCGTAGTCATTTTCAGGCCTTGAAAGTTTGCAGATCAAAAATATTGTTTAGTTTGTAATTAAATGTGAAAACGCTCATTTAAAGATGCGTATACAATTGGTTGTTTTTCATTATGACGTAATATCATCTATTAAACATTTTGGTAATCAGTAATACAAAAAAAAGCCATATAAGCATGTTTAAAATCATGATCCAGTAATCAGGAGCGACCGAAAAGGGCACAGATTGCACCATGATTCTTTATTAATATTTAACCGTAGATATTGTAATGATCTGACCGCTTCTTCACGCACATATGAGCTTACGATGATTTTACCCGAGTCATTCATTCAGTTGGCCTGTTTCAGTCATTGTTGGGTGTTATTTATTAGACGCTGTTATTATTATAGATGTCAAGCATGTGTGTGTGTGTGTGTGTGTATAAACAGCTGCTCTTTGTTCAAGCACTCATGACTGCTCAATAAGTGGGTCAGCAGGGGTTCAAGCTCAAT